ACAGCTGACCCACACCAGGATATTAAGGACCTGTCCTGTGAACTCAGACATAGTGGCAGGATGGAAAATATCAAGGTGATGATTTTTAATTATGAACTGATTTTAAGCAAATGGGACAGGACACGCCTGTTCTTAATCGCTTTGGCTGTTTTGGTGTTCCTAGCAGCCGGTGAATGAAGTCCCTCCCCAGCCTCGTCCCTCTCCAGCATATCTGGATAACTTATCCGCATTACCGGCCTCCTCACAGGCTAAGAGAGCTGGAGCTGGAACCATTCAGCACATGCAAGTGGCCTCTACAGGTGAGAGTGCATGACCCTGCATGTGTTCGGCTCAGGCAAGACTATATATCTGTAACCGTTACAGATTTCTAACTGACAAAAAGGTCAACTTCAATAATAAACACAAATAAACTGAATATCTAAAGTTAACTAATTCTCTCTGTCTTTGGTGTATAGTTGTAACTTCATTCAACATGAGGAAACACCTTGAGGATGAGGAGACAGTTTTGTCCCATAAGTCCATGAGGTCAATGAGACAAGCAGGAATCACAGCGGTCTTCACTGGACAAACAATAAATGTATGTGCTAGCTTCAGTATTAAAAAAGTCATCCTGAAATCACAATTTAACACAAACATTTTAACATTTTCATCTGTACAAGATTAGCACTGTTTGAGGCACTGTTGTTAACTTGCCCTTCCTAAAAAAAAGGGTATTGGTGGTGTTTCGGGGAGAGTGTTACATTTTGAGATGTAAAATAGTTTGCAATGACATTTATTTTGATTTGAAGTGAGTGTGTTTCTTTGCAACTGAGATGGTATGGCGATATTGATTTCTATGGGTTTGTATGAATCTGTTTACAGAAAGGACAGAATGGAATTGTTCCACTTGAAGCATTGGAGGCAAATCTTGCTGACATTGATTCTTTGATCCCAACTCATGATGAGAACGGGAGGCCCATTGCTGAATGGAAGAGGCAGGTTATGGTGCGCAAGCTTCAGACTCGACTGCAGGACGAAGATATCCACAGCAGAAAAGTAAACTTCTCAACCCTTCCAACATAAAAGTCCTTGCATAATGTCATACAACATTACAATAAGAATTGTTTTCTTACACAGGACAACAGTGACCAACACATCGAGATGGATGGTTGGAGGTATTCCCAAGTCCACAATGTCATTTTTGGCCCCTTTGGAGAACTGCTTACTGAAGATGACCTGGTCTACTTGGAGGGACAGATTGAAACTATCTCCCTTCAGAAACAATGCCGGGCCTATGAACTAGAGCTTGCTCGACTGGCGGAGGAACTCAGGACCATCCTTCCTGCTCCCATCATTAATATCACCGTCAACACCCAGTGCCAGCAGCTCCCAAACATGGAGGAATCTCTGCCTCTTCCTGTGTGGTACAATCGTATCTCAAATATAGTAAAGAGCATGTCACTGCTCCTGACAAACCTCTCAGAAACAAACAGTGAGGATGGGATCAGTAAGATGCCAAACACAGATCTGGCATCGGTACTCACATACCAGCCAGAGTGGCAAAGTTCAATCAGGGGACGAAGGCAAAAGGTGGAAATGGAGATCCAGCAATCAGGAGTTTCTGTGAGAAATCTGAGGTCCAACTTTGAGGGTCAGATAGGAAACATCTACCCATTTTCTGGGTTTTTAATCAACACATCAGACACAAGGCAGCAAAAACGGACTACATCAACAAATCGTAAGGAGCAGCCAACTCAAAGCACTGACCTAAATCACATTAATGACAGTGGCATAAAGTGCCAAAAGGCACCAGGCAAAGATGCAAATAAAGTGATGGAGACCACCTGCTTGCGAAAGGAACGTATCGTTGTCCTCTTTTTGAGCCACTGGAAAAGGTCTGCGTATGCAATATCAATGCGAGCCAAGATGAAACAAGAGCTTGGCACTCTTACAGGAGAAGGAATAACAGCGCCAGTCTCCGAGCCAGGAAACAGATCACTGTATCATCTTTACAGGCAAAGAACCGCAATAGAGAAGATGATTGGCAACTGGAAACGCATTGCCTCAGGGGTCCCATCACGACAGATCCGGAGCCTCCAAAGGAAGCACGTGACTTACTCGCCCAAACAGTTCCTTCCTCGTGTGGACGGCGCTTCTGTTGCTTACGACAGCTTGACTCTTGACTTGTTCATGCTTGGCTATTTTCACATTCTTGAGCAGGACCTCCCAGCTGAGGAGCGCAAGATGAGGCACCTGCTATACTTTGAGGTGTTCGACCACGTGGGGAACTTTCCCTGGGAGTCCGAGACTTCCACCGGGCTGTCCTCAGGGAGATTGAGGCTGGAAGACGTGAGTGGAAAGATGGTTTTGAGGACATCAAAATGCAATACTTTGGGAAAAGAGAAAATGGGATATCTAAGGAATCTGTGAAGAATTCTAAAGCCGTGCCACAGGTTATCTTCGAGAATACCGTATTAAATGATGGAGGACATCCCAGCAGAGATGGAAGCATTGATTTCTCAATGTTTAGTAATGATGAAATTTGTAAATATATTGATCGCAGTTTCACCTTCTGGAAAGAGAAAGAAGCAGAGTTGTTTGATTTTTTAGGTTTTTGAATGCAGTGATGGTTTATACTGTATCTGAAGACAATATAATAGACAATTATTTTGAATTAAAAAAAATGACAAAAAAGATGTTTGTTACATAACATATGTTAATTAAGTGCTTTGTAATGCAGCAACCTTATATAAATAAATACCATGATTACACAATGATCATGGCCAAAAGAGTCTTAAAGCCATGCATTCCACAAATGTTTAAGTTTGCCTTTTCTCTTTTATAAATAAACCATTGTTTTGTATGAAAATTGCTGTTTCGTGAGATTAATAATTCCTGAGTCCCTTATAACTTCCTGTTACACTTTTTTTTTTTTGCACAAGAAACAAACCGACATTGAGTTCAGTACATAAATATACATGTATGGCGGTGGGTGAAATGTGTGTGAGACCCGCAGGGATGTTCAAACCACCCTGTGGGGCTGATGAAACATGCATAGGATGGAGTGTAACATACTTGTTATATAGCAGTAGTGCTATAGTATAGTCCAGGGGTGGCGAACTCCGGTCCTGGAGAGCCGCAGTATTGCAGAGTTCAGCTCCAATCCAAATAAAAACTCACCTGCCCGTAGCTTCCTAGTAACCCTTCAGACCTTGATTAGCTTGTTCAGGTGTGTTTGATTAGGGTTAAACCAAAACTCTGCAGGGCTGCGGCTCTCCAGGACCGACGTTCGCCACCCCTGGTATAGTCCAAACCAGAAAAACACTGAACATAACACATCTACATTATATAAAAGCAACAAATCACTCAATACATTAAGCAGGAATGAAAATGTGTATATTATAACACCTTCAGGGAGCTTGGTTTCTTTACTGTGATAAACACACATACACATTACACAAACAAGGAAACCTTAACTTGAGCTAAGGAAATGAGTCCTGCTGTGGCATGCTAATGCTAATCTACTAGCTTGTAAACACCTTTCTCCTTCTTGACAAGTAAATGCTGAATTGAAGAAACCATTTACTTCGTGGATTTTCAAGATCTGTTACCTTACTAACAGTACAAAATTGATGTAAATACACACAAATTTGAACATATTCTATTTTCTTATAATATGCTGTGATTAGCTGCTTTCATTTAAGGACTACCAGCAACAGTATTTCAAACATTTCAAAATGTTCATGTTTTATACAATACTTTTTTATAATACTATTTCATATAAGCTACATACTATTTATGCTTAAAGTACAGTAATCTGATTGTATACCTGGACTTTTATGCTTTCTGTCAATATATACAGACTCCACTTGTGTAATGTGTTCCCATAGAGTATTGCTTAGTAATATAAAACTACTAAACAAAAGTTATTTTATACATTTTGAGGGATATTTTTGTGATTTTATTGTCAACGTTATCTCCAGTAAACATAGCCTAGTTTTCTTGTCTATTTTTTTTTTTTAGCCCCAGGCTGTAGATTATGAAGGAGTCTGCATGGAGACAAACAGACTTGTCAGGATATGCATTGAAAGTTTCCAGGACACAGTAATGATCTCTCACCACTAATATTAGACACATAGTCTACAATTTGATTTGGATACATTTTTATGTCATTCTCAGTTGCACAAGATTTCTCTTCTGTTTTCATTTGGTCATTTATTGTTTTGCCGAAAAAATTAAAATCAACATCAAATACCTCTGTACTCTCTCTGAAACAATGCTCCTTATTTAACATCTCATCAGACTAGGACACAATGTGCTGGAGGAGAAATATTTATAGATTTATGTCCAATAGGTCAAAAGGGCATGCTTGGTGATATTATTTGCATATTTTACTGACACATAATGCCAATTGTGTACTTAAAGAGATGCTGGTTTTAACTGTGAATCTAATCTCTTCCTTAATTTTCCAGTCTGTGCTATACCATTTTCATCCAAAAAAGGCAAAACCCACACATAACTCAAAAATATTCTCCTTATTTAATTGCTTGTACTATATTAGTTACTCTGCAAGTTTCTGTATATAAGGAACCTATATTAGTTACTGTATAATAATACTATAAAATTACAATGAATAAATTATATTTTATGTCACCTTAAAAACAACAAAAATGTAAATGTAAACGTTTTATAATATCAAATGTATATTATAATGTGCACACAGACAAAGGTTTTGCAACATTTTGTTTAACACTTTCCATTCAATTATTATTCACAGGATGTATTCACTTGTACACAAGAAAGGTCTAAATGCAGCCTTGGGTGTCTGCAAAAGACACAAAATAAACGTTAAAAGTATATAAATATGTGTTGCACTTTGAGATGCAGATGCAAACATTGCTGCATGGATGCTTGGCCTGCGGTTTAGTGTGCGAAGAGAGTTTACGAGGGACGTTTCCGTAAACAGTGATATCAGACGGGCGTATCGCCACCGCTGCGCATGCGCACAGGGCTGGAGAATTGACATCGCGGAGCAGCACTGCAATATCCATCGATTCGGGACCGAAGATTATCCAGCTGCATTCTCGCAAGACTGGTGCCACCTGTACATATTAATCCATACCAACGGTGTCATTCAAGCAATCATGTCCATGGGAAGTGACTTTGGGAACCCTTTACGGAAATTCAAACTTGTTTTTTTAGGGGAGCAAAGCGGTGAGTCTTTGGGTTTGCCACGACTGGGTTTAGACGAACCCATTAACCTTTCGACACATGCATGAAGTACATTAGTATGTTGTTGAGTCTTTTGTGTATCCGCTTGTTTGTGGTGTTATTTCAAACGATGTTATCACTCTATCGATTCCCTGTCAAACAAGTCGGTTGCATATGTTTAATTTTTGATTAGTCATGAAAATGTATAGCTATGCAGCGTCATTAGACTACTAAACACCCATCTGTGAATATAACGTGATATAATCGTTATTTCAACAACTCTTATGATTGTCACCTGCATTTTCCATTGGAAGCAGAAGGGCTGATATTGATCGCTGTTAATCTAGTGCAGTCTAAATCGCTCAAAACAAATTATATATATGAAATAATTTAATCGAAAGACATGTATATCGCCGTGTTTGTATACGTCTTCCTGTAAACATCCACTGATTTAATGCCATGAAACAGAAAAGCGCAGAGGCTTTGCATTTCCCGTGTGTCTACTGGAGACACACCCAGGTTGGCAGTCAGTGTCTGTGGGATTCTTCAGCAGAGCAAAAATAAAAACCTCATGCATCATTTTATGAGCAGTCATAAGATCAGCCTGTATACTAAGACTAGATATCGTGGTTTATTCATTTTTTTTTTTTATCAGTGACACTGGCACTGTCGGTGTTTGTGAAGACGTAATCAGACGGGCATTTGAGATCATGTCTGTCATTTGATGATTGGACATCCAAATATTGAAAATAATAACACTGAACATGGCGTCACCGTAAAGTTCACGTGTTCTTGAGATATTTTTGTCTTACATTTTCCTGTAATGCTTATAGCTCCTACAGTGGTTATGTATTCATCATTCACTGTTCGTATGGGAAAAAAAATGAACAGGCAGTCAGACAGACAGAGGGCCCTCTGTACTGTATAAAGCAGCATTAGATTGTGATAAGTGATAATTGCAAATTAAGTCTAAATGAGCTTTGACAGCTGTCTGCATCTTGTCTAAATTATAAATCCCATGCAGCCTGAATATGATGATGGATATTTCCACACCTGCATATAAAAACATTTATTTTCCCTTTATTTTTCCATTTTATGTCAGCTTCGGAAAATTCTGTCATCGTTTACTCACCTTCATGTTGTTCCAAACCATCTTTCTTCTATGGAACACAAAAGGAGATGTTAGAAAGACCAACATCCTCTCAGTCACCACTTATCTTTTTTTCCCATATAATGAGACGGAAGAAGAAAGGAAGTCATGCAGGTTTGGAGCAACATGAGAGTAACTGATGACATGGTTTGCGTGGACTGTCCCGACTATCATCAGAAGACCACTTGTATTCTGCTGTCCATGGTCCTGAAGCTCTCTGCTGGTCAGATTTGGTTGATCTTGTCTCAAGACATCAGCAGAATAACCAGTGAAGTCACAGAAGAATGGGACCATTATGCCATTTCATTCTATGAGCTCCAGTATAACTATTGGCATTGTGCCGTTTGGTGATTTTAGTATCTCGGCTCAGCCTGACAAACAGGCTTGACCAGATTGGCCTGAAAAGAGCAGTCCTCTAGTGTATGAAATGTGTACTCGGGATTCTGCTGTCACAGTGGCTCCATGCACTGCCGCATTTTTAAGTAATTTTTCCCTGTCGCCATAACTCTAAATGACAGTGAAGTTAAAATGACATTCTGTCATTTGAAGGACGGAGGTCAAGACAGCATGTGTTTCAGTATGGTAGAGTAATTCAATTACTAAAAACACAGTGTATGGGGTTGGTCAGGACAAACAAGTTATTACTCACTTCAATGCATGTGATTCATCAAAATCTGAATCTTTTCCTGGTTTTGTTGGTTTGTTTTACAGTTGGGAAAACATCGCTGATAACAAGGTTCATGTATGACAGTTTTGACAACACTTATCAGGTATGCTATTGGTTCTTTTAGAACAGACACCAAAGAGTTTTCCAGATAAGTCTATGTTATTTTGTATCTTACTTTAAATCTTATTATCATCACAGGCAACCATTGGAATTGACTTTTTATCAAAAACCATGTATCTGGAGGACCGAACTGTAAGAAGCTCTGAAACGAATTAGAATGAATGATTATATTTAATATATATCACATTAATGCAACTATCAAAATCTATCTTTATTTCTACAAATATGCCTTGTGTGTTGTTTTGCAGGTGAGGTTACAGCTATGGGACACCGCAGGGCAGGAGCGTTTTAGGAGTCTTATCCCGAGCTACATTAGAGACTCCACAGTGGCTGTGGTGGTGTATGATATCACAAGTGAGCACCTCAAACACACACTTTGACTGATGAAGTGATGTAGAAGCAACTGCTTTTGTGTTGCCATTGATGAAATAGGCATTTAACTTTTCCTTTTCTTCTTCCAGATGTCAGTTCATTCCAGCTAACCTCCAAATGGATTGATGATGTCAGAACAGAGAGGGGAAGTGATGTCATTATCATGCTGGTGGGCAATAAAACAGACCTGGAAGAAAAGAGGTGGAGTCTTTTATATTAAAATTTTATATAATATTTTGTGCTAGAATTCTTAATTTGTGTCACTATAGTATCAGATTTTCATCTTTATATTTTTCTTTTTTTCAGTTAATTTACTGAAAATTATCATTTAAATTTAATAAAAAATGTAACGCATTATGTTGGGATTTGCTCTGATAGGCAAATCACTATAGAGGAGGGTGAGCAGCGGGCCAAAGAACTGAATGTGATGTTTATCGAGACTAGTGCAAAGACTGGCAGCAACGTTAAACAGGTGAGTCTAAGAGTGCTACATTGTCTGCTTAATGGCAAATGGACTTGATCCAATAGAGTAATTTAATTGAGATCATGCCCTGTAACATGACACATGGAAAGCTCTAAAAAGATTTGATTTAGCCAGAGTTGTTGCCCATAGGGCTTTAACGGTACCAGTCCACTCTGGGAAAAAAAATCTGATTTCATTCTCTTTCTGTTTGGTTTAATAGTTGTTTCGGCGAGTGGCTGCTGCTTTGCCTGGAATGGAGAGCCTGGATGATAACAACAAAGAAGGAAGTATCCTTTAATGCATGACATTTAAAGCAGATAAGTGTCATTTTTGAAAAGGTGTCCCAGGTTAATATGCAGAGACAAAATTAGAAAACTAAATAATTAAGCCATATGTAGGTTGATAAACACAGTGACTGTGGTGCTATCAAAACTTTTAAGCATCCCGTCCACCTAGACTCTGGAACATCATCTCAATCAATACTGTGAGTTTGGGGCGGGACTATCTGTTGGTATGACCAATGACAGATGGAGAGTGTTTAGAAAGCCGAAAACAATATTTCAATCATGACAACTCTCGGAAGATTTTAGCATGGTGATGGATATGACAATGTTAATGTATTTGGTACATTATTGGTACAATATATCTGCTACGCTGCTGCTGCTGTTGGTTATTGCTGTAGTTGTAGATTATTGCTGCTGCTGCAAGCAAGTACAGGAACATGCTACTGCCAATGCATATGGCGATACGGTGCCGTGAGTATTTAAGACATACTGCTGCTGCACAAATAGCATATAAAATAACCCATTGCAGATCTATACAGGTGGAGCTGGGGAAGGTGGAGGGTTTCAGTATTAAATACCAATAATACTGGGAAGCTGAGCTGAATATTTTAATAAGGCAACACTATTTTCTTGATTTCCTTGACACACAACCCTTTTCCAGTGATTGACATTAAGCTGGACAAACAGCCAGATCCTCCGGCCACTGAAAGTGGGTGCTCCTGTTAGTAGAAAGCGGTTCGGACCTTCATTAACACCACATGCTTGTTCTGTTGCTTCCTATGGGTCCACGTCCAGTTGAACTTTATGATCGGATATAGGCTTTTTACATCTGAATGGGTCTAAAATTATATTCCTCAGTTGCAAGAACAAAAAAAAAAAACTACACTGTCTGTTTAATTGCCAAAATAATATCATAGGTAATTCAAAGTGACTAGCTAACAGATTCATATAAGACAGGAAGTGGCATGTGTAACATCTTCGGACAAACAACATTCAGAGTGGATTATCGGTTGTTATGTTTTGTATTTTTGTACATTACAAAAAGCACAAAATGATGCCTTCACAAAAAAATGAGTTTAAGATTCAAGACGGGCGACAGAGTAACTGTCTTTCGTCCATAGCATGCATGTAAGACAACTTTTAGAATCGGTCATGTCCTTTGGTCCATACACATCAATAGTAACGAAACGAAGAACTCAGAATAAATGAAAAAAAGAAAAAAGAGAGAGGTCCTGTTCAAAGTGTGGGTCTGTGTATACAGTACATCCTACATGCTAATCCAGTACCAGCCTACTAGTTGTGCCTTCTGTTATTGTGGCATCACAATGCAAAGCTTTCATTGTATGGCTACCTGAGAACACATATGTTACAGAACGGTGGTCACTGACTGGTCGGCCAGACAACTGACGGATTTATGATGGAATTGTTGTATTCACACCATCTAGCCAATTCACAGCGGTCGAGAAAAATTGCAGAACAGTCCTGTGCAAGCGGACGGTTGTATGTAAAACAGGAAGTTGCTGCTGATAGTGTGAGGAGATTGAATCTGTCAGAGGGTTGTGTAGAGCAGTGTAGTTGGCTCTTTATTCATTCTGTAAGTACATTTATGAGCATGACATCTGTCTGAAAAAACAAAATCAATAAAATCCATGTCTTAATACCAAACTGTCTACTGCTACAATGCTGAGTGTGATATTATTTTATACAGCAGTTTAAGAAACTAAGAATTTCAATGTTTTTAACCAAGCAGAAAGTTCTAAGATCTAATGAATTTCTATTTTCAAAAATCACTATTTTTTATGACAATTTAAGACAAATGTTATGTTTCATTTAAAGTTGAAAGCAATGGACACTTTTCACAGACTGTGATGGCGAATTTCCACAGTTGTTAACTTTGTAAATCTAGCATTTTCATTTTTAAAAATTTTAATGTAAATCTTCAACATTATACTTGGTGTTTTCTTACCTTGGTCTTTAATTACATAAAACGAGTTATCCCTGCTATGTGAGTGTTTCTAATAATAAGGCTAAGGAAGTGACGGCAAATTGGACATCTTTCTCTCTTTTGACCAACTCAATCAATCTCTTGATATTTTTTCCACTTTTGGAAAGTCATAGAAACTTCAAGGTGGATTTTTTTTCTTATGCTATTGGTGCAAATGAGAACACAAAATAAATTTGTTGTAGTTTCCATTCATCACTACAGACGTTTACCCAAACTATGATGACTTCCGTTTCTCAGAACCCTGGAAATGTGAAAAAGGTCCATTATAGTTTGAGTATAACCTTGCTGGAAAATCTCAAAGACATTAATAATTCCCACGCAACATTAATGGCTAATCCAGATCCAGTGCATTTATTGTGATGCACAGAGACTGGGATTCCCCTTGGTGTGGAAACTATAGTCCTCAGGAGAGACAGGTGATTGAAAGTAGAGGCTCACATGATTGAGAAATCGTTTCTTGCCCAACTGTGGACTTTCCAAGCCATACCGCACAAATGAGCATAAATGCGAACAAATAAGGGGCAGGTATATTTAACCAGCCTACAAGGTGCAAGTTAGTGTTTTAACTATAAATAGAAATTCAATGTCACCACTTATCACAGCAGTCTTATGAATCAATGGCCCCTAGAGGCTCCAAGAGCACAAGAGTCATTTGTCCACCAGTCACAAAAAAGCCATGCCAATCACTGACAGCCATCACACCAAATAAAAGGAAACCAGCTAGGAGATTACAGGTATCTCTAGTCCTCGTCACCTGCATCTGTTGTAAGTACTATGATAATTTTTTAGCATGTTTAATGTCAGGAAACTAATCAATATGTACCATTATTTCTAAAGGCTGAATGATGACTGATAGTGTTTAATTATTAAGGTTAAGAGTCTTTGACCATTGGGGATCTGCGGCAGTACTGACAATTACCGTTTGATCTCTAACTGATTTTTGAGGAAAATAAAAAGGATAAACCAAAATTCAACAATTATTAATGGAAGCTACTTTCAATCAAAACTAAAGCTCAGCTAAATATTTGTTGCTGTTGCTGCATTAAAATGTTTTAAATAAAAAATTAAAATGACTTTTTTTTTTACTTTGTTTACATTATTTTAATGAATAGTAATGTAAGCTAAATATGTAAATACATGAAAATGATACTATATGCCTGTCACTGTATTATAAGTCCAGTTTAAAGTGCAACATTCCATTTTATATAATATATAACAAGGGATCCCTTCTCTAAAAAAGGTTGAAGACCTCTACTTTGATTAATTACAATGTATGCACATGATAAAACAATTGAATCTTTTTTAATTAATATCTGAAGATATATTTAGTGCTCTCAGAACACCAGAGCAAGAATTTCAGTGTAAATGTAGTTTGTGGTCTATATGCAGGACTCTTGTGGAAGCATGTCTAGGGTGGAAGGTTACGGAGAGTCTGACCTGCGCTCACAGCTACGAGCATGTAGGACTGAGATCGCTATGGCAATCCATGACCCTTTCCCACTGCTGTATGGGCTGGCGGATCACGACATCATCTCTGAACAGATCCTAAGGGTGAACATTTTCATAAAAATTACATTCCTCAGCATAATTACAAATATGCGTAATCATAGTTCATTAAATGCTCAAACAAGAAACTAATACTATTACCGATTAACACTTAAGGAGACTTTAGAGCGAAAGAAAAAGGACGGGATCCACAAAGCTGTCTACTCACTGCTCACTTTGATACTGGACCAGGATGCCACAGTCCTCCAGGGATTCTGGAGCAATCTCTGTAAAGAGTACAATAAGCAGTGTTACCCAAAACTGGAAACCCTTGTTATGAACCTTCCCAAAGGTACAGTGCACAGGTCTGGCAAACATAAGTAGGTTGGAGGATAATAATTACAGTTTAAGTGATGATAATCTGATTTAGCAGGGTTAAAGCAGGTGGCCAGACATGCAGGGAACCCTAGGTTTGAGCTGCAGGTCCACAGCCAGTCAGGCAAGAAGAGAGGGTTGGCCGAAAAACAAATGACCCACCGGCCACATCACCACACCAAGAAAGCCTTAACCTCCAGCTCAGGTATGGACACTGGCACACACACAGATATTCATAATTCTGTTCGTATAGCAAATTCCCGATTAACAAAAACATGTTCTAAGAATAAGAACATATTGCTAACATTCCCATTACATAATACGAAAACATTATATCTGAATGTTCTCTGTACATTAAAAAAAAAAAAAACTTTTAAAAACGTTTTTTCTTGGTTATGTAAATGTTAAAGATAACATTAAAGGGCTAACGTTAGTTTACCCACAAATGCTAATTATGTTATAATTTACTCACCCTCAAGTTGCTCCAACTAAAATGTTTCAGAAAAACATCCCATAGCATAAATGATGTATAATGTATTTACTAAAGACCAGATAACTTCAAATGAACATTCTATTAACATTACTGGAAGAATGTTTGTTCATAACTTTGAGAGAACCTTGCCTGAACGTTCTTCATTGTTCTGAGAATGTTAGCTGGGCTGGAGAAAAGAGGGGTCTTTTTTTTTTTTTTTGCTTTCCTTCCACTTCTTTCTATGGCCTTGTGATGTGACAGTCAAGTCAGGTTATTTTCATTTAGTTTGAATAATAAGCCAAACAAAAACTAAATGTATTAAAAACGGCCTACGTTTTAGAGGTATTATTACTACTAACAGGCCCAATGTAACGTTACCATTTTTACATTTCCGGTGATTTCAGAAGCGGAAGTCGTAATAGCTGTGATGAATGAAAACTACAACAAATATCATTTTTGCATTCCCATTTGATCCAATAACAAAATATAAAATCGACGATAGTGTTTCTATATAGCTTCCCAAAAGAGGAAAATATCGAGATTGATTACGGTGGCCAGCCGTTTACAGTTTTCTATAGCCTAATTTAATGCCAGTATAACACAATAGTACTATAAATTTGCATACATTTTTTTTACAGAAAAGATTCCAAAAGTGTGATTTGTGATGTTCGAATCATTTAACAAGTACACTATTCATTATTTTATCCTTCATGTACTACATATTATGTCGCTTATATACAATAAATGTTAATAATTAGCTTTGTACACCGCAAGGGTAAATTGCACCTTCATCTCTGTTTTGTGAATGAGAGTAACGTTAGGCTAGTTCTTCAGTAAAAAGAGTCCCCTATGTTTTCATCACGCTGCTGTAGGATCTGCCGAACAAAGGGGAAAATGTTTACCTAGGCTAAGAGTGACATTTAAATGCATATGAAATAAACATCTCATAAAATACTAAAACTACTTAGCAGTGTAGTCTCGACAAATTAATCTTTTGTAAGGAAAAAAATGTTTACGGACGCTTGCAGGCAAGCAAGCCCTCATCGGTTCTCCAAGAATCACATGATATTTTACACTCAAAAAGGCGAATACGATTTATAATCTGAAGGAACACTTGTCAGTTTGTATGGCCGTTCTAGTTGCAAACATGATAGTCCTGATAACTCAGTGTCTTCACTGTTTCAGGAAGCAAAGGCAAGCAGATGAGAAAGAAAGATGGTGCAGCACTTTCTCAGGTCTCAGTGGGAAACGGTAATCACTTATTTGTGCAAATTGTGTCATTAGAAGACTATGCATTATAGTAAATGAATGAGATTGCAGATGAATAAATATGACTCCCAAAATGCAGGGGTCCAGGCTGTATCTACCTCAGTCCAGAGGGCCGTGACTGTGTCTGCCAGTGAGCATCCCACTGGCTGCGGGACAGTGGAGGGGATTCTGATCCAGCAGGTCATTGAGTCTGGTGAGCTCAGCACACTAATACAGTATTGACACACTGTGATGAAAGCCTTTACTTTGGTAATGCTTTAGCTCTTAGTGTGAG